AAAAAAAACAAAACAAAAACAAAAAAATCAATGCCATCCGATGGGTAACCTTTTTTTTCGCACGCGGGAATGAACAACGAAAAAGCTGAATGTGTTATGACTCAAATGACGAGGACTGGTTTTCATCGTCATCATCATCATCATCTTCTTCTTCTTCCTCATCTTCATCGTCATCATCCTCTTCTTCATCAGCTCCCTGAACTGCGTCGTCGTCAATGTCGTCATTAACACTGTTGCTGTCGCAGGCACCGGAAGAAGGACATGTTACGGGTTCGGAAGGTGAGGTTGATGCCGGGTTGTTCGGGATTCCAAGCCGAGTTGGGTCTTCTGGGTGCCATACTTTGGCCACTAACCGGGTTCCGTGGCCGTTGTTTTCCTTGTCACTTCGCCAGGATAAGGAATGCCCACCAAAAGCCCCGCATTGTCCTGTAAACACACACATGAAAGGAAAGGAAAGAAATCAGCGCCACTGATGGCCACAAAAATAACACATAAGTAGAAGAAAATCTCATATTGCCCCGAGGTCAAGAACAAATTATTAAATGGTATTGTAGCATTCTTCGTTTAAAAAAAATGTTATAAAAATTATTATGTCGTCAAGATTCTGATGAAAACATTGGAATTTTCTCATTTCAAAAGTTAAAAAGTTCAATATTGTTTTTCTGACGGCTAGATTATTTTTCACAATTTTCAGACAAAAAATACAGTTTCCAAGTGCGTGTATAAAAATTTTCTTACAGAGAAAGTAACAAAAGCCCTCCAAAATACGGTATATCCAAATACACGGTCCACTGTAGTACAAAACAAGAATATATGATGTGCTGTATCTATTTCTGCATGTTGGTCTATTGTTCAAAATCAGACAGAAAAATGAAAAATTGGGAAAATGTGGGAAATTCATCAGAAAGCCCGATTTGTCGATATATTGTTGTAAAACTCTCATACTATTGGGCATATCGTGTTTCTGCTGAGCCCTTTGGTTTTTTTATTTGTAAAAATTATTATAACGGGGTTTCACCTGTGTAACTAAATTCGTTGTCCATGGCGAAATTTTAACGTTAAGCATTTTATCTGCAGCTTGTTACAACATTTTTGCTTTAAAGTTATGCTTTTACAAGTTATGCGATTTGCCGCATCGAACCATGAAAATATGTTGTGGAAAAATTCTCATACATATTATGTTTCTGCTGAGACCTTAGATTTTTCATTTTTTTAAATTATTATAACGCGAATTCACCTGTGTAACGAAATTCGTTGTCCCAATTGCGAAATTTTAAGGTTAACAGTTTTATCCGCATCTCTTCACAATAGTTTTGCTTTCAAGTTACGCGATTTGTCGCATTGAACCATGAAAATATGTTGTAGTAAAATTTTCATACATATTATGTTTCTGCTGAGAGCTTAGATTTTTTTAATTTATATTTTTTTTAAATTATTATAACGGGGTTTTACCTGTCGAAAGAAATTCGTTGTCCGTCATGGCGAAATTTTAAGGTTAGACATTTTATCTGCGTCTCTCTACCCTATTTTTGCTTTAAAGTTATGTTTATTTTAAAAGATTCTTCATATAGAAGCAGGGCCCAATTTATTCATTTCGCATAAGGTATACTGACCTCGGTGGCACTGGATGATGACCTTCTTGACCGGTTCTTGATGGGTCGGATTGGCTTCGGGCGGATACCTGTCATTCTCCACCAGTTCCGCTAAAAAGTTGATGTAGCCAATGGCGAGTTTGAGCGTGTCCACTTTGCTCAGGCGTTTCTCGTACGGCAATGTAGGAATGTGTTCTCGCAACCCCTTGAATGCATCGTTGATGCTCTGCATCCGCTTCCGTTCCCGCATGTTGGCCGCCTGTCGCTGGTGAACAGCTTGCTGGGCGAACCGCTTCTTCTTCCGTTTCCGGGTCATCGATGGTACTGGGGGTGTATAAGGGGAGAACAGTTGGGATGATTCATTACCGGGGTTCCTACTTCATTTAAAAATGCTTCTAAATTTTTTTTTTCTCAGGTGGGACTCGTTTTCTGAAGCGTCAGTGGTGCGGGGTGAAATTACTGTATTTAATCAAAAATTAAAGTCCTGTGACCAGGGATCAAAAGTCAGTCCAAAAAAGCAGCTGAGGTCACATTCCTGCGTAAAATTTCAAAGTTAACTGCACAGCATGATGAGCAGGGCGAATAAAAATTAAAATATGAAATTTTCTTGGTAGAGAAAACTGAACAAAGCCATGAAAACTTGGTAAATTCGAATTTTAAAAATGTTGCTGCACAATACCACTTTGCCTTCCAGTTATTTCCACGTCATACAGGTGGTACCTCGCAATTTGACCCTAATTCGTTGCCAAACTAGGATCAAATTGCAAAAAAGTCAAATTTCGAGACACTCGATAAAATCAGCGACAAACAGCACAAAAACACTAGAAAAGAGGTAAAAAAAACAGGTCAATTTTTGGAAAAAAGAGGTGAAATTGCGAGTTATCCTCCATGCAAATCCAACCATCATATATTGCGGGATGGTTGAATTGCAAGGTACCACCTGTATATTAGAAACAATTGAAAGGAAGAACATTCGGGATAACTCATTGTAAATTTAAAATCATTTGCACAAAGTTGTTCACTGTATAACAGTATTTTCAAGACATTTTGCTGCATGATACTACTTGTTTTCCAAAACATTATTACAGTGCATGAACCAATTAACACAGTCCTTTAACCGGGATGTCAAAAGTTGGTTTACAACGGTTCTATAAATCATTTAATAATGTCGACAAAGAATTCTGAATCAGTAGACCGCACCAAATCAAGAGCGCGGCAAAAAACATTGCAATTTAACTGAAATCTAAATTTTCACGAAGTCATGAAAGAATTGATGCTGTAAACTCTAATTCTAAAGGATTTGCTGAGAAATCTTCTTCTGTTATTATCATGACACTTGTCCCACGTACTCCCGTTACTCGAATTCAAGATCGATGCCAATAAAAAATGCTGCGAATATTCAGTAAGAAACATTTTCAAAAAGCCCTGAAAACTCGAAAAAAAAAGATTTTGGAACATTGTGCGAACGATTTTTACTACGGCGTCCCTAAATTGACACGACAGGAAGGAAGGAAAAGACAAATACAATAATTACAGAGTGGGTGCGTATTTGAAATTGGATTGAATGGGAGCTTTTGAACCAACGGTAAGCTAATTACTGGTGGCACACTGGGCAATGATTTGCCACACACTGTTCATGAAAAATATAAGGTTTTCATGGCTCAGTATGTATCACTTGAATGTCGTTTCCAGTATAGATTTGTTAATTTGAAACAAGACTAATGCGCATTCATTAACCACGGCCGTTCCTCAAACGGGAAAAAAATCGCGCTTTTTTCCGTGATACTGTACTACAAAAGCGGAATTTTCTATGAATAATCATGGTTCCTAATCTTTAATTAACTTACATTTGGCTTTGAAAATTATACACAGTATTCTTGGAAAGGAAGAACCCAAAGAACAACAGTGTGTAGGCGTTTCTTCATACAACATCGCAGGGATTTTAAATCGTAATGCAGTAGAATAATAGGTTATATAAGTTATTATTATAATATTACATAGGTTATATATACAGTAGTTATTTTTTATATATATTATAAACGTAGAAATGTCCACAAAGAAACAATAATTGAATTACTAGCATATTTTTAGAAGACGTGTCTTTGAATGTGGACAACATTAATGCTTTAAAATGTAAACCCATTTTAGGCGGCAAATTTACTTATTATCACCGCAGATACAAACAGGAAAAATGCAGACAAGAAGACATCGACAGAATTTACTCTTAAATACCCCAAGAAAACTCTGCGTTGAAAATCTAAATTTCGCATTGAATCGAGTTCTCACACAAACATGGATGTCATCGTAATTTACTTACAATTCGTCAGCTGGGTTTGTCCATTAATCAAGGGTTTATTGCCGAGTATCGTCATTTGCTGCATCGTCGGCGTCTGTGTCTGCGGCGGCGGCCCGAGTGGCGCCGACAACGGCGTGTACGTTTGTGGCGCCGCTGCTGGCATCACTGGACTGTAGTAACACTGCGGGTCAATGTAGTCCATGGCATGGTAATCCACGAACTGTCGGTTGATGGTGTCCAAGTCATAGCAAGTTTGTGCCAACTCGGTGTGATGATGACCCGTGTACATCTTGGAATCGACTTGAAAACTCCACGTGAAGCAGCCACACAATTGTATTTCGAAATCACTTGGTTATCGCTGGACTAGAGCATTGATATGGCGGGATTCACTAAATCACAACCGATTTCTCATACTTTTTTATTTTCATCGTAATTCGCGTTTTCGAAACATTTTACATTCCGCTCCAGGTGTGACTAGAATAAGCACTCGGTTTGGGTGATATGTACCTGTCAATAAAAAAAGCATAAAAAATTATCATGAAATGAGTGATTGACAAAATATATCTTGTATGAGGAGAGCCGCCTATAACGGGTATCTTGAATGATGGCAATATAACTTAACGTCCTCGTACTATTTATTGTAAACCTCAAAATACCAGATTTGAATCTAAATTCTTACAATGAACGACTTCTATTGTACCGGTATTCGCGTGTTAATTAGAATTTGTGAACCCAACTGAAACTGGCACCGCAATGAGGCCGGAAAAAGTTAATTGAATGAAATAAGAAACACGGAGAAGAAGGAAAAATAATTTCATGCTTTTTTTGGAACTCTGAAATCTTCTTTGGGACTGAACTTGATTCTCAAAAATGTCAGGACTAAAGAAACAGGGACAAAAACGATTTTTCAGCACGACTGAAAGATTGTAAATGCAATGAATAGAGCAGTTATTGTTTAAAAAAAAAAACGCACACCTTTACCTGAAAACGATTTGAACATTCCTTTCTCTCTAATTCAGGCGTCAATCGGATTAATTGATAAGCCAGGAAATTTTCGGCCTATTTCCGTAAAAATGTTCTCCAATAGCGTTGCATCCCTTGGACTCAAGCACGACGGATGCATTGAGGCTACCTAAAAAAAACTCTTTCTTTTCTATTAGGAAGCAATAAATCATTAAAGCACAATCTGACGGTAATTGAAAAAAGAGAAAATTATCCACGGACTCACCACACAAGGATTTTTCCCGGTCGATCCCCCGGGAACAACTGTGCGAATTCACAGCGGACCGCCACTCGGGCAACCGCGTCTGCAAAGCGGCAGTAGCTCCGCCCTCATTGGAGGGATCATCCAGTGAAAGCAAACTTCGGGAAGTCCTTTCCTGACTGTGATTGGACGCTTGCTGCGTGGGCGGGCGTAGCATGGAGCCAGTTTTCTTGGAATTGGTCTTGGAATTGGTCGCGTGCTTCGAATTGTAACGCTTATCGAAATATACAATGTTTTCTCTAAATGAAGTTATTATATACGGTACTTGTACACTTACAGTAATAGCTTATTCGAAGCAATCAAAGCGTGTAATAATAGAAGTAAATTTGGAACAACGAAGCATATATTTCTTTAATTTTGAAAAAATATTGCGGACATTCTGAACAGTTTTTGTCTTCTGGCGATGGTTTAGAATCAAGGATAATAAAAAGCACAGACGCAGGCGGTTACAATAATGCAACTGCGTCTATATCTTCTTTCAACCCGCCTTTTGTTATAAATTATGAAAAAAGTGTGCCTGAATCATTTTGACATCTCCATGTACTACAGTGCTGTACTTGAAAACTTGTAATTAGATGGAGCAACTTTTTTCAGATAAGAACAAGTGAGAAGCAAGGAAATGCCCACATCACATTTTAAAACGTTGAATGTAAAAATATGCGCAGAATTTGCAAATGCTAGAGTATTGTATATGACTTGTAAGTGTCGATTTACGGTACTTTATCCATCTTCTCCTATATAATATAGATTCTGTTGGCTTGTAAGTTCCAGTGTGAAAATAGTAAAAAAATTGTTTTTATTTAAATCTGCTTCAAAAAAAGAAGTTCATGCAATTGTTAGTATCCAATTTTTGTATTGCTATAGTCTTCTGACTTCAGTCTCGCGATAAAACATAGATTCACATAATTTTGAACATTCAACTTTCCTGCAGGTGTGATTTATAATTACGGATACAGACTACAATATATCATTGTTCTCGGAAACACTACTGCAGTGCAGTATTTAAATAGTTAATACTCATAGTTCCATCGGAAAATTGCTTTACAAATGAATAACAATAAACTTATTTGTTAGAGCATTTTACTCATCGTGGGAATAAGGCCAGGAATAATAGCCTCTCATCTGCAAAGAATGTGTAATTCATCTAATGTACCACATTTTGAGTCACTGTAGGTTGTTTGCAGCAGGGAATAGAATCCAGAAAGAATGTCTAGGTCAAGGGAACTGTTTACGAGTTGGTACTTCATGATTCTTCTGTAGTTGGACTATAACATTCTTCTCAGCAATGCCGGGTTCGGATAAACGTTATATAGAGACAGGTTCCAAATTTTCAGATAAGAAATAGACCCACGTTGGTCGGAAGCACTTTATCATCAAAGTAGCTTCCTCGCATAACAAAGATCTATTGTCCCCAGCAGCGCGTGGATCAACAACCAGGTGTGAACAGCTGCCTGTAATTCCTGCCGCCTCTCCTCACACGCATTCCCCGTTTACTCCATTCACTTATGCATTCATTCATTCATTCATTCATCCTCTGGCTGACCATGTCACATAATGTGTGACAAAAGGAGAAGAGAGGGGGAGAAACGAGCAACGAATGCGTTTGATTTCCTTCACGCTTCACGCCGCATTTGACTTGAGCGTTTGCGATTAGTTTCGGGGGCCATGAAGATCCCTCGTTTCATGAGAGATCCTAAAACTATGCTGAAAGAAGAAAATCCCCTTGTTTACCAAGCATTTTTACACATTTTTGTTTATTTCAATGTTGATGAAGTTTTGCCTGGTGTTAAACAGCATCGATTAGGTCTTCAATCGTTTCCCGTTATTCCTCTCTATTTTGCTTCGCGACCATTTTTCATCATTTATTTTTTCTCTTGCAGTGAAAAACATCCTGCCCAAGACTTGCAGAGTGTTCATTAGCTGATTACTGTAGAGTGCAATAATTAAATTACATAGTTTCTTTCGAAGACAATCTATACTTATCATTTGCATGGTTGAAAATTGTAATTACTGATTTTTTTCAAAAAGTTATCTCAGCCGAAGGAGCAGCACCTCATCAGTACAAGTGTTGACCATAACTGGCTCGATTCAGAATTATTCCCGAAAAATCTGTCACGTGGTTAACATTATCATGTGAGTCCAAAGCATGGTTAAATATGAATTGTAACGCAATCTTCAATGGCTGTAGTTGGAGTTATTTTCGAAACATGATGTTGGGCTGCCAGGTGTGGGTGCAAAGAAGACCAGGGTGACGAGTCTGTTGGTAATCAGCTGATGGGTGGTTCGGGCACTGCTATCAAATTCTGCTCAATCATCTCAAGCCCCGCGGGTTTCCGCATATACGTGACACATTTCATAGTGCATGTGTATATACTACGGTAGTAGTTCATCATGTACAGTTGTGCTGTACTGTACGATTTCTGTACCACACAAACCTCAAGAAAAGGAGACGTTCTGACTTTTGATGGAACTCTTTTGACATTTCGCACTGACAAGCATGCCCCGCGGCAATCATATGTGTTATAATTATTTGCCGGAATATTTCTGCAGCGCGAGGGGAAATTATTGACTAATAAATTATTTTTCCACATTCACAAGTACAATATAAGTTTGAATTCATTCCTCTTCTTTTTGGCAGGACAGGTACAAGTCTGTTTAATATACTGTAAAAAAAAGAACCGGTGCTAGCAAACTTCATTGTTATGTTCACAGTTTTGATGATGGTCAACTCAATGGACAAGAGGACAACACACTAAAATTCGATTCGAATTAAATCAAAATAATGCCGTCGAAACCCTTATATTTTAATGCGAATTAAATGGGGGTTGAATGGTAAACCAAGGACTTGTTTGTACAGTGTATTCAGTATTCAAATAAGGTATTCCGCATGCTGCCAAAGCCAAAGGAACAAAGAAACGAAAAGTTTTTTTTATTCGCTGCTGCTCGTATCGAAGAGTTTATCGTGACGATGGAAACAATGCTATATACAACTGATAGAAACATTAATCGTAATAAGCGAATGCACTGCGTTATTTGCTGATGAGATCTTCAAATTATTCCGTTGGGACTTCGGGAGTCTTCAAAGCAGTGGTAGTTGAATTGACAACATCGCGTAATCTTGACCAACGAGCGACAGGACGCTCTATTATGCATGCATGCAACCGGGCGTCTGCTTACCTGCTTGGCAACTGAGGGGGCACATAATGAATTCAAATACGGTAGTCCTTATGCATGTGAATACCAAACCCTTGATTTATGGCGCATATCTGAAGTTAGTTCAATGCATTGCTTTTCACACACTGGATTCTTATATGAAAATTTGAGCCAGCTCCGTCATACGAGGCCGGTTAGCTCAGCTGGTTAGAGCGTGGTGCTAATAACGCCAAGGTCATGGGTTCGATCCCCTTACTGGCCAACTTTTTTTCGGTGGCTTGTCGATGCTCTTCTACAATTACTGTACATACATCAGCTATTGTTTAAGTCAAGTTTAATGCTGACCATATTTTAATGAAATGGAGATAGTAATTCTTTGGTGTTTTTTTTAAACATTTGAGACAATTACTTTTCCAATACTGTATTATGTGCCCCACATAACGCCCTATATAGTGAAAGAACGTATCACTATATGCGCATGCATTAATAAGTACGGCATTCAACGTATTCTGTCCAACTCTCGCAATGACTTGTGGTAATTTCTGTACCGATTTCGATCCTATTTTTCCACAAAAAAAGTTTCAACATAATAATAACCGTTCTCATCCCCCAAAATGAAAGGTTCGCCTCAACATTAATTACCGTGAATACGTCACAGCGCAACATTCTTTCATTTGATTCGCTGCTATTTCCGCCGCAATGAAAACGAGCTCAGGCACAGAAGATTACACGTCTGGTCCCTGTTAATTGGTACTGTGCAATTACAAATTAAAGCAGGTACAGGTAGGTACCAGAATTTC